GGTGAGCTACCTATCCAGACCCTAGGGCGGGAGGTGGGAAAAGAAATCTGTGGACCGAACGTTCCCATTTTCCAACGAGGCTTCGAACAAAATCGATCACGCTACGTGATGAGCGAGCGCCCTGACCGGGCGTACCCGGCTCAAATCCATTTGGAGGCATTTCACCGCGGTGGAAACCAAGTTGCACTTGGTTTTCACCTAGCATATAACCTATTACGGAATTCCTATTATCTGAGTTAATGCTTGGAATATTCGTAGCTTGGGAGTTCGTACTTGGGTTTCAATCTCCGATTTTTTCAATCGTCATTTCTCTGGTTTACTGGTAAGACTGTTGAGTTGCACGGCAGTTAGCCATCGATAGCCTCCCCCGAAGAGTGACCCTCGAAGAGTCAGTGGACAACCGAATCGTGTCTCAACAGCACTAAGTCAACTTCTTCTTGTATTTGCAGCTTCTACGTTGAACGTGAATCTGAGACATTCAATATCATGAATAACGCAAAGAAGTCCCTCGTCGGCTCTCAGGAAGCACGCTAAAAACTGGAGGTTTCCCATTCGAGCGGGTTTATAAGATTTGGTGACACGCAGCATTGACACGGTGTTCAGGCTGAAGAGTTCAGCACCGTGATTTCTCGAAAAATCACAGCACAACCATTCTGGATAATTCAGACTGAATTGGATGATATAATCATATCTGAACAGTCTGTAACAACCACAAGGTTGATAAGATTGCCAATAACACGGAAATGGCCGCCATATGCATGATATTCTCATCTCTGAGTTTCCAGTGGAGTCAGACGAGCAGCATCATACCAATGTTGCTGGTACTCGAAAAACCGCGTAAAAACTGATGATCTGGATAAAAAGGCCCTACAGGCTCCAGTGGGACTCGGCCTACAATTGTATAGTAAGAGCGAGCGTTTATTCTGCCGTGTGGGCAATTGTTATCATCTCAGGCCGGCTACCACATGACGGTAGTCCAAATTCTCGTGGCTGTGCATCCTGGGCCAGGATTCCTGACTAGGGGATTCCTGAGGCGGTGATCTTCTGGTAGCTCGGTGGCTAAGCACGATGGTTGATCTTGGACGGCGTTCTCTCGGTGAGGAAACTTGTAACACTAAAAGTTCTTGAAGTTGACGATGATACGAAACCCATCTGTACATTTGCGAGCTGCTGAAAATATCCTCATATCTTTGGTCGTAGCCCGCCCGACCGTTTTGCTCTATACTAACTCGTAGCAGCATGATCGATTAAGCAAGATTAAGGTTTGATTTTTCTCCTATGGTTGTGTTGAACGATGATCTCGACTACTCCCCCAACACGACTAACGGGTCCGTAATGGCCAATAAGCATAGAAAACCTAAAAGATCCGAATCACGTTATCTTCTTCTTCTTCTATATCTTGGTAGCTTCAATTCTACGAAACCGGGGATATTTCCGGGAAAATTTCCCGGAATCTCCGGGAAATATGGGAAGTGAAAAAAATCGGTTTTTTACCAAAACGGACAAACCCTGGATGACGCATTTTCCTCAAGGTGGAGGGAGAGTGGTAGCATTCGTCTGTGGTCCATCATCTGGTAGACGAGCTCTGTGAGAATCTGATGATATCAGAATCTTGGGAGGAAAAGGAGGAGGATGCCTGTTCCTCACTGAGTCTGACTCAGTGTCGAGCGGGGAGGTGCCTCGTCGTGCCCAACCCCGTGAGTGATAGTGATGTTGCAAAGTTGTCAATGCCAATTCTACTTTGTGGACCGTTGTTCGAGGCCTTCATTCATTTTCGGGATGTTCATCAGGCATGTACGGCTATGACGTGGGGTCTTTCGGTGCTATATGCATGTATAACAAGTGAGGATCACATCGAAGGGCTTGCCGGGCCGAAGCCTTGCCCTCAGACCATCATTTTCGGGTGCTCCCATCAAAAGTGGCGTCTTCCCTACGATGTACTTCGTGACGAAGCTGTGCCAATAGATTGACGAAGCCTTCGAATCTATTGAGTCAATAGTATTGACACAGCAAACCATCACTCTTTTGTTCTTAGTAGATTTTTCTACTCAACTCGTCAGTTTTCATAGGTCATTCGTCCGTGATGGTATTTCCTAGCTCTGCACTGCTTCGTAATGCTCACATATGTATTGCTCGAATCGTGGTACGATCGGGATTTACCAGTTGACTTCCTCTTTTGTACGCTCATGATCCGACTTGTTGAAAAAAGAGCTCATGAACTACGAGTCAGGTCTGTGATGCGTCCAGTATTCGATACTGCTTTGTAAATCATATTACGAAGTTCGTTAAGAGGAGCTAGAATTTCTAGCTCCTCTTAGAGAATGACCGTGCAAGAATCAGCGAAGTACACTGAGTGAACAACGGAACTGTGCCGCAACATCGCTCAGCAGTGTCGGAGAGTAGGCATATGGTCAACCACATGTATCGGCGAAAATGTCGGCCCGACATCCGTCTTGTTGGTGATCAAGTGAAGCTCGACAACCAAGCTCGTGCAACGAAAGGCTTACGTCGACTGTTTGCTCCAGCTGGAGTAGACAACTAGGGCCCTAGCGGCCGGAATAAGCTTAGCAGTGTTGTTCATTGTCGCTAGCTTGAAATTTTGCTATCTTGCTGTAACTCGCTTTCTTGAGCTTTCTTACTTTTTCTTAACCTTCTTTTGTGGAGGGGCGTGGGCCCGCTCCGTACGGCGTGACGACCATTTCAGATTGAAACGGTCCTTAATTACGAGCAATACATGATACAACAATCACGTTCTTCTGTCCTAAGGCAGCGGCCACTGATTCATACACTCCTATTGGCCTTCATCCCTCAGTGAGTGTTTAGAACGGTTCGATTCTGCCCAGCTGCTTTTTCTTCTCTTTTCTTTTCTTCTTTTTTTCTTTTTTTTCTTTTTTTGCTTTTTCCTTTTTTTACAGCAACATGCGAATAATACAGCGCGGAGCGAACGAATACTTGAAAACGATATACAGCTGCACCCGCCCGAGAATATGTGCCAGCTACAGCGAACCCCTGCGAGCATCTCGATGCTGCATGAGGACCAAAAACAGCCGATTGAAGGCATTGCGGCGCTTTAAATCGGCAACCATTTTATAGAAGTGATAGGGTACACCACCTTTGACCCGTTTCCTTAGGAAACGTCATCGACGTTCGGTCGGGTTTCACCCGCGATATGAAAAACACATCCACCCGCTTAAAGGCGAGACCGCATAGGGCTCAACACGTGAGGAGAGCGTCTCGAAATCCATGCTGGAGTCGTCTCCTCTCGAGCACAGCGGAGAGAAGTGTTTCACGATGTGCATCAGATATTTTCGGAATCAAGAAAATAACTTTATCAAACTTCTCTGGAAGTATGAGTTTCCATCACCCCTGGTACAATCATATCCCGTGATTGTATGCCTACATTCAAGGGTTCTACTCCGCGCTCTTGAGATGCTCCTTCAGAAATCGCCGTAATAAAATTCGTTATCTGAAATAAGACGGAGCAAAACGGTAATGTGTAGGGTTGAAATATTAATGTCCAACTTACTGAGTTTGCATACGACTTAGGGTAGAAGTGTACAGAAACCAACAAGAATTTCACAAATTCCCTCCCAAAATTTTCATAACGTCATCACCAGCACGTGTAGTTGACTATGTGCATATTTTTCAATACCAAAATTCACACACAACTCCGAGGGGAAGTGCATGAAAAGTTTTCATTGAAGGCTAATGAAGACTTCAAAAATTTCCTAAGAATTTTAATATTGTCATTACCAACACATGTAGCTGATGACCATGTGTATATTTCCCCGCGCACTTTCGTCTCATTGGGAGCACCAACTTCCCATCCCGCCGAAGGGCGCACGCTACTCCATCTTCACATTGCTGGCCATAATCAGTACTAAATGCGATGGAGTTTCACCCGCGAAAAACACAATTTCACTTGGCGAAAAACACATATACGCAGTGAATAACATGTAAAACACATTATGTGTTTCACGTGATATGGGGTGTAATTTGCGAAGTGCTGCATTTCTCGAATATCACGATTTCTAACACGGAGTATTACGCCGTTCCACGTGAAAAGAGCTGACGGAATGAACACATAAACTTACTAAAATTTCGTTTGGGCCTCAGACATTTTCGAATAAGCCGCACAAGTCGTTGAAGAACACATGACCAAGTACAATATGCTCCCAAGAAGACCAAAACACCGTGGAGTCCATGTGCATATTTTCCCAATGACTAATCATGTATTACTACTATCACGTTGGGGCCTATGGAGACTCAATTTTGAGGGGAATCGAGATGTTTCACAGCTGTTTCACTGCAAGGGTTGCTACTTGAATAACTATGAGCGAGACCAGCCTCGGCTGGAGACTATAGCCTTCGTATGTACCATCAACAGAAACAGTCCCTTCCCTCCCTGACTCTTACCTATTTCGTATCATGCGCAGTCAACCTCAAGATACTGATCGTACCGAGAAATTGATCGACTGGTAAAATGTAAGTAGCCTATGACCTATCAACTCATCCACACTCAAGGTCTGGAATAACTGAATTCCGCAGAGTATTAGTGCTAGCTCAATTCATCTCTTCTGGAGTCTCTGTCTATCGTCACTCGATGAGGAGTGTACTTTAAATACTGTTATAGGTAACCCCCCCCGAGAAAGACCCCGCAAAGATCTGCGAGAGCTCCAAATGTTCAAGACGAAGGACGTTTGCTGTTGATAAGGACGGTTCTTTAGCCGAGTCCATCAGAGCTCTCGAGGTCCTGCGGGTCTAGCTGGAGTTAATCCTCTGAACTACTTCTTTGGCGCGATGGTTAGTCTTCGTGAATGATTTGAGGATGACCCGGGTTCGACGACAAGTGATGTTATTTTAAGATTAATATTTTGGGACAAATTTGAGCACTTAGCCATACTTGAGGAAATGCAAGACTGCAAGAGGTTATCGATAGCTAACGACAGTCTAAGGCAAGAAAGGCTTAAGAAGCATACAGTGACTTCTCAACTGCCATAATGAGCAGTGTCACATTAACTAACGTATTTTCTTTCGTCCCACCTGTGGTGGGTCTCCTGTGGGCCATCAAAGAGTTGGTCTATGTTCGAAGCATCAAGCTGGCCGGTCCCTACAAGGGAAAGTCTGGCATGCAAGACTCTCTTGTTGCTGGTGATGCCCGTGATGTTCAGAAGATTCTCTTCGCCATGCGTGAGATCTCTTCCAACATCGCCGAGGGTGCAAACGCATTCCTCATTGCCGAGTACAAGTACATGATGGTCTACGTTCTCGTCTTTTCCGTTATCATCTGGCCCTGCATCGGTTTCGGCACTATGTTGTCATTCGTTGTGGGTTCCATTACCTCTATCGCTTGCGGGTACATCGGAATGAAGACCGCTGTATACTGCAACGTCCGTACTGCTCATGAGTGCTGGAAGAACCTCTCTGATGGTTACGATGTTGCACTTCGCGGTGGCTCCGTCATGGGCTTCGCTCTCGTGTCTTTGGCTGTTCTCAACTTGGCTATTCTCGTTACCATCTATAACGTTCCTTCTTTCTATAACGATGACGTCAACGGTCTTTACGAGGCTCTTACCGGTTATGGTTTGGGTGGTTCCTCTATTGCTCTCTTTGGTCGTGTTGGTGGTGGTATTTACACCAAGGCTGCCGATGTTGGTGCTGATCTTTCTGGTAAGAATGAGTACGGCCTCGATGAGGATGATCCGAGGAACCCCGGCTGTATCGCCGATAACGTTGGAGATAACGTTGGTGATATCGCCGGTATGGGCGCTGATTTGTTCGGTTCTTTCGCCGAGTCTACTTGTGCTGCCATGGTCATCTGCTCTGCTGCCCCTGAGGTGGCCGTCCACGGAAGTTGGTCATCAATGATGTTCCCTCTGCTCCTCTCGTCTGTCGGTATCATCGTTGGTATTGTGACTATGATGTGCGTTGATGCCTTCTACAAAGTTCAGGAGATAAAGGATGTTGAGAGATCTCTGAAAGGCATTCTCGTCATATCTACCTCTATTCAAACCCCTATGGTTATTCTACTTGCCTGGTGGGCACTTCCCAGTGGTCTTTTTGCCATCGATGCTTCCCGTCTCCATTGCACTTGGTGGAAATGTGCTATCTGTGTTCTCCTCGGTCTATGGTCCGGTCTCTGCATTGGTAACATCACCGAGTATTTCACTTCCGATACCTATAGGCCAGTTCGCGGTATCGCGAAAGCAGAGGGGATTTCTGCAGCTACGGGCATCATCATCGGTCTCGCCAGTGGTTATGCTTCGACCGTTATCCCGACCCTCTGCTTGGGCCTGACTATCTGTGTTGCATTCTCGCTTGCGGGTATGTTCGGTGTTGCCCTTGGCGCCCTCGGTATGCTCGGGACTCTCACCATGTCCCTCACCATCGATGCTTATGGTCCCATCTCTGATAATGCCGGTGGTATCGCCGAGATGTCCGGGATGGGCCCTGAAGTCAGGGAGCTCACGGACGCTCTCGATTCCGCTGGTAACACCACTGCGGCCATCGGTAAGGGCTTCGCTATCGGCTCTGCCGCTCTTGTGTCCCTCGCCTTGTTCGGCGCCTACACTGTTCGTGCTGGTGTCCATATTGTCAGCCTGCTAGACCCTTGGACCTTCACTGGTCTCCTCTTCGGTGCTATGATGCCTTATGCTTTCTCTGCTATGACTATGAAGTCTGTCGGTAAGGCCGCCAACCAGATGGTCGAGGAGTGCATGTCGCAGTTCCCCAAGATCATCTCTGGTGAGATGAAGCCCAACTACACTAAGTGCATCAAGATTGCCACTGATGCCTCTCTTATGGAGATGATTGCTCCTGGTTGCTTGGTCATCCTCTCTCCCCTCGTCGCTGGTCTCATCTTCGGTAAGAACTGCACTGCCGGTCTATTGTGCGGTGCTCTCGTCTCTGGTGTGCAACTGGCCATTTCCATGTCCAACACCGGTAGTTCCTGGGATAACGCCAAGAAGTACATCGAAGCCGGTGGTCTCGGTCCCGAGTGTGGTAAGGGCTCTCAGGCTCATAAAAACGCTGTGACTGGTGATACTATCGGTGACCCACTAAAAGATACTTCCGGACCCGCTATCAACATTGTTATCAAGTTGTCCGCTATTATGTCATTGGTCTTTGGCGGTGTTATTGCCAAGACCTCCAACGAGCATGGTGGTCCTTTCTGGCTCAAGTAAATGAAGCCAACTCCTACAGACTACATTCCGAGTAATATTCGTATACTTCTGTGTGCGGTTTCGATAAATGCTAACTTTTTCCTGGTGTCACTTGCGTCGTGTTCATGTGTCAATCGACATTTTCGAGGTGAAGAAAATTCAGCTAAGGCGATGACCCTTCAGCTTAGGAACATCTGCTCAGGAAAGAGGCGCCTCCTCGTAACTCATGATGTAAAGGAACGCTACATTCATCGAACGCAGAACCCTAGTTGGAAAAGTCACAACCACCAAGTTTGGGCGCGAGGCAGAAGGTTAGACTGAATCACCGAAGTGGAATCCACGGCCCGTTAATCACGAACCGGAGACGATCTTGTCAGAGGTTGTAGACTGACGTCCATTCCCGACACAGGACCGCTAGTTGTGGTAAGGTGTACTGTATAAGCTTGTGCGGCCGCCGTACTACGGCGAGATGATTGTGAGTCGCTGAGATAATCGACGCTCATAATGATGCCGTAGTTGCTGATGTACGTGAGTTGTACATTGCTATGTATTTCCTGTAGTCTCCAAACTTGTTGACAAGTTGTAAATCGTCCAAGTCATCGAGACATGTTCATGCTCCTGGAGCTTGTCGCACCGCTCCGCTTCTTCCGCTCCTTGGGAAGAGAAAGTTATGAGGAGTTCTTCCTCAAGGGAGAAACGTTAAGTCTCCCTCTCCCTTCGAAATACGCCTTGAGAAGCCATTCCTGAGTTTTAGGACAAACGATGTTGTGTCCGATGAGCATCACAATGTTGCTAATGATGAATGCCTTCTTGGTCAGATCAATGAGTCTGCTCTACACATGGTTGTCCTCGCTGTATAAGGAGACCTCGAGTTGACGTGTCGAGTAGACGTATTAATACCAAGATACACCAGATTGTAAAGCAGTTGGTTCGTACCAAGTTGCATAGCATTAGTCGCATTGCATGTGGTGTCGCAACGACTCGGTTGGCAGCGATCTCTCACTCGCCGTATACAGTATTCGTTCATGAGAACAGCATGGCATCCGTCCGTTTCATGTGCTCGGGCTGACAAAAATTGTCAGACTGAGTAGCCGAACACGAGGAGCATCCTTTCTGCGTCTAAGTCGTGGCTCAGCTCTCGACCGGCATAAATTCCTCTCATGTGCGACATACACGAGCCGAATTTACAACACAACGAGTAATCAGATGAGAAACGATTATTTTCGATCACCACTGTATCGATTGTCGACTTCTGGATGCTGCAGTACTAGGTGTTGTTGCTGCATCACGACGACGTCTCGAAGGCGTCCATGACCGACTGGTAAATGGGGTTCTCGTGGCCTTGCAATCGTCTGGTGTCGTCAAAGCATTTCCGCAGTAGACAGGAAGAGCACTCGATTTGTCATCCTCTTCAAGCATTTTTTCCGCTGCTTGTTCGCAGGATGAACACATCTCAGCACCATGCGTAGGAGTTGAGCAAATCACACACGTACCACTCTCCACCGAAGTCTCGTCCAAAAGTAGCTCTTGACACGTCTGGCATATGCCATCGTTCTCAGCAACACTAGCCACCATAGAAGCCCCACAGGTAGGACATCTCGCAGGCAGCGAAACGTGATGTCTAAAAAATACAACGATACCGAGGATTCAAGACGAATATCACACATTGGCGGTTGCGGTTGAGGGCATTAGGTCATATTCCGAATCGAGCAACGGCATCGACTCGAGAATGCTGAACTTTAGTGATATGTAAAACTTACGTGGCATGTGTGAAGGTTTCTATCGCAGACTTCAAGGCTCTATTCGGGACAACACGTTGGCTCTTCAGTGGACCGTTAGTGAGAGGATCGATCTTCGGCCTTCTGAAAAAACTCATAATCTTGAATAGTGTGTGTCTTACGCTCAGAACCGGATCGAACGAGATTTTACGAGAATTTTGATGCTTCAGCTCTGTCCGATGAACAAGACAACTAAACGAACGACAACGACAGAGCACACGCATCACAGACGCTCAGGTGTCAACACGTTAGATGATTCGGATCAGCCTGCACCAGACTATACTGATTCCGCCTGAGTCAAATCGCTCACATCCCATTGTGATCTCCAGTCACGATCATGCTGGATTCATACCACTCCATCGCAAAATTACAACACGATTGCAGCCCCGAAGGGACGCCTATTATTCCTCTCACCGTTTGAAGGCTTTCCTGATAGCTGATCGTTCGTAAGTATAGCCAGTCTCGACCAGAGTAACAGGATCTACCATGACTTCTTGTGTGATAGGGCACTCGAACGATTCCTCCAGGCTCCTCAGCAAATCCTCATCATCTGCCATATCGTACGAAAACGTACAGATAGAAACTAGAATGGGGAAGCCTGCCAGGGTGCTCAATTTCAGTGAGCAAGACAGAGGTCTCGTCAGAGAGCAAGGTCAACCCAGGTGGGATTCGGGGCACGAGTACTCATCCGCTCTTGTAGGAGCACACAAGCGGTCGCACGCTAGCTACATACACGCTGCTAAGGTCAATCTCGATGGCTTTTGTCGATGGTGAAGTGATGAAGACTGGGGACAAGACTTGTGTGTTGGGAATTTCGATTAGCTTGCTCACCGGGGTCATCAACGTGTTCCACGATACCGATCATGTGGTGTCGGATTCATCTATAATACCTTTCAAGAGATCTATTCAGCGGATATGGCTACCAATTTAGCGGACAGGGAAATCACATTCGCGGATAGAAACATCAATTTAGCGGTGGCGTCGGACAGGGAAATCAGTTCCGCGGCGGAACTTCCGCCGCAAAATTTTAAATCAATTTCATGATGGAGGAATGCAATTCCACGGACAAGGACATTAGTTTCGGGTTAGTGTTTCATCTACACGAAATAATCTTCGATGATCTCAATCGCTGACTTCGATGAGGTCATGGGAGACTCCACCTCCATATGGTGTGTTTCACTGGCAAGATAGGCTCTGAGCCTAAGGCTCACGATTGCCGCAGAATAAGAGGACAGTGCAACACAGGCGCATGACCTTCCCTACGGCGCAATCTCAGCTCCCGCTTGCCAAGTCACGAGCTTTTTCCGTCCCTTATGTGTTCTCGTTTTGGTGATTTTCCACATGTTGCGGAAAAGCAGCGGATCAGTGCCGCGAGTCCCACTGATTCAGTGGGACTCGCGCTATCATCAATATCCTTCGAGCCGATCTTCAGGTATTAGTTTGTATCATCGATGAACTCTCACGAACTTTTCGCCATTCCATCCGTTAGTAACGGTTACTAACGCATGTAACGGGCCGTTACATGCGTTAGTTAATTATGGGCACTATGTTGGGGCACAACGCCCTCATGGATACGGGTCCCGTATCACGGAAGCATATGCAGTGCAGACTCTGAACTCATTCAACGAGTCTCAACGAGTGACAATCTTCCCAAATGACAACGACTCTCATTGTCATTTGGGATAATCTGAGTCATTCCAACGTCCGAGTTTGGTCACTTATCACCGAGTGAGTAGTTCTTCTAATTGTGAGCGATTGAAAGTAGTAGCTTATGATGTGTTAGTGGGTATTTGCGTTCCTTCGAACTCGGGAGCGGGTCTCCGAGAGCACGAACAGTCCAGAAATCAGTCCAGGCCGGTCACCAAGACAGTGGATAGGATGCACTACATTGAATGTAGTAATTGATCTAACAGCAACCGTCGCAAACGTTTCGCAGCCTTCGCACTTTATCAACTTGAAATCTCATTCGAGAAGTGAAACATCTTCCATAAGAAGGGAGAGGAAGAGTCACAAAATACTGTCGGGTCGGTGATAGTTGGGAGTAAAAAAGTAGAGATAAGGAATCAATGAACCTTCATCTACCATTATTGAACCACGTACAAAATTCGGACTCTATAGACACACCCAAGGTGTGACACCTTACCGCTCGACTTTGAAGTGAAATATGATAAGGGCCCAGCTTAGGAGGCATACCTCAGAAGCACCACTCGCTGAGTACTACTCGGTAAGGCGTCGTCCAGAAGATGAAGCAATGGCATGAAACAGGGATCTTGCGTCCCAGGGGTAGAGATCCTCGCTCTGGAAAGATTCGCCGCCTTCCAAACCAATGCCGTGCAGTCCATACTTCTTGGCCAGGGCAACCTTCTCGATCGCACGAGTTTGAGAGAAGAAGAAGTAGGCGGTTCCATTCAAGAAGGCTGACCCGTTCCCTCTTGGATCCGCTCCGAGGTCGTAGATCGCATTCGAGTATCCTATGTCTGAGCTCTCGGAGTCCGATCTAGCAAGTAGCGGTACCTGAAAAACAACGCTGAATTTACGCCACACAACCTAAGTCGAGTAGCTCAGGTCTGTAACAGTAAACACGAAGACTGCCTCCAATGGAGAAGGTGACTTCGAGGAAAACTCTCTATCGCAGACAGCACTGATGTCCCCGGTAATTTTCTCAGTACTACAGTCACGGCAGCGAAGGACTAAAGATTGTGAAAGTCGCACACACTTACAACAAGGATGAGCTTATTGGGATT